TGGGGATGCTGCCACATTTTTGGAGAGGTTGTTCCAGTGATTGATTGTTCTCACTGTAAAAAACGTCTTTCTTATATCAAGGTGAAACCTCTCCCAGTGCAACTTGCACCCACTGCCCCTTGTCTTCTCCACGTGGCTTCTTGTGAAGAGAGCGCCTCCATTCTCTTTGTAGCTGCCCTTTCCCGTACAGACACTAATGTTCAAACAGCTGCCTGATGGGTTGGACCAACCTTCCCTCCCAAAGGAAAAAAATTATAGCAAGGGCAGAAAGTGAAACTGGTTGTGGTAGCTGGCAGCGTTCAGCTAGAGGATACATGGGTACAGTGGAGAACAGGACTACTGTTTGGAGGGACCATGACAAGCTGGAGGAATGAGCTGACAGAAGCCTCATGAAAAACAAAGACAGCACCATGAAACAGTCCAGGCTAGGAACTGCCTACACAGCAGTTCTGCAGAAAAGGTTCTGGAGTTCCTCGTTGACAAGTTGAAGATGAGTCAGTAATGTGCTTTTGCAGCAATGAAGAAGGTTAAATGCACGCTGGGCTGTACTAGCTACAGCATACCCAGCAGGTCAGGGAAAGTGATTGCTCCTCTCCACTCTGCTATTATGAGGCCACATCAGGAGTACTGTGTTCGGTGTGGTGTCCAACACTGGAAGTCCAGTAAAGAATACTGGTGATGGTTAGGAGGCTGAAGAATATGACATAGGAAAAGAGGCTGGGGCATACTGGTCATTTGTCGCCCCTTCCCCCACCATCCTTGAAAATTTTCTCAACTCACCTGGCAAAGGCCTGAAGCAATCTGATCTATGAAATTAACTCTGCTTTAAGCTGTTGAACCAGAGATGACCTCCAGAGTTTCCTTCTGACCTAATTCAATCTATGATAAAAGGAGGCTAGATTGCTCCATTATAGCAGCTGCCTGCACTTGAGCCCAATTGAAATGACAATGGAAATACACCCTAAATTACAAGCCTAGTCTTCCTAAGCTTCTACACAATCAAGAGATTCTGGTACCTCTGGAAGATAACTGCAAGTGCCTGAAATAAGCTATTTCTCTGACTGGCTATCAAAAGGAGTCTGCCTCTTTCCAGTGACTACAAAGAAGGAGTGGGGAGAAAAGGCTTTCAAGTTGCATGCCAAACTTAGATGCTCAAGGTGACAAAGTAGGGAAACCTCCTGAAGGCTCAGCCAGTAAAGCCTGAGAATACTACATACATAATGGACACAAGGCTTATGAGGCTAGTGGTCAAGTTTGTAGGGATACTGCTGGTGGAGACAATCTGGGATTCATCCCAGAATACTGAAGGAGGTAGCAGATATTATGGTAGGACCCCTCTCGATCATTTACTAAAGGTCTTGGGAGTCTGGGGAGGCCCCTGCTGACTGGAAGCTAGCCAATCACAGAATCTTCAGAGTTGGAAGGGACCTCTAGAGACCATCTAGTCCAACTCCCCTGCAAAAGCAGGATCGCCTAGAGCACATTACTCAGGACCGCATCCAGGCGGGTCTTGAAAATCTCCAGAGAAGGGGACTCCACAACCTCCCTGGGCGGCCTGTTCCACTGCTCTGTCACCCGGACTGTAAAGAAGTTTTTCTGTGTATTTGAATGGAACTTCCTATGTTCCAACTTGTGCCCATTGCCCCTCGCCCTGTCACTGGGAACCACTGAAAAGAGCTTGGCTCCATCCTCCCTTCAACCCACCCTTTAGATACTTGTATGCCATAATAAGGTCTCCCCTCAGCCTTCTCTTCTCCAGGCTAAAGAGTCCCAGCTCTCTCAGCCTTTCCTCATTAGGGAGATGCTCCAATCCCCCAATGTTTTTCCAATCTACAAAAAGGGCATGTGGGAAGACCCAGGAAACTACAGATCTGTTGGTCTAACCTCAGTTCCTGGAAAAAATTATGGAGAAGATTATACTGAGTACTATTGAAAGGCATTTAAAAAATAATGCAATCAGGCACAGTCAACATGGGTTTGCAAAGGGCAAGTCCTGTTTAACTAATTCAATATCCTTCTATGATAAGGTCAGCTGTCTAGTGAATGAAGGGAAAGCCGTGACTGCAGTTTTTCTGGATTTTAGTAAGGCTTTTGATACTGTCCCTCACAGCATTCTTCAGGAAAAAATTTTCAACTGTGGGATAAGCGGGTTCACAGTGCACTGGGTGAAAAACTGGCTGAAGGGCAAAGCTTGAAGGATTGTACTGAATGGGGCTACATCTGGCTGGTGACCGGTCACCAGTAACGTTCCTCAGGGTCCAATTCTATGGCCAGTTCTGTTCAATATATTTATCAACGATCTGAATGCAGGTGTTTGACGCACCATTAGCAAGTTTGCTGATGATACCAAACTGGGAGGTGCTATTGACTCTCTTGAAGGAGAAAGAACAGCTGAGGACTGTATAGGTTTGTCTAGTTTGGAGAAAAGGAGGCTGAGGGGCGACATCACTGCTCTCTACAGTTTCCTGAGAAGCAGAAGTGGAGAAGAAGATGCTGATCTCTTCTGCATGGTATCCAGTGATAGGACACGTGGGAATGGTTCAAAGCTATGCCAGGGGGGAATTAGACTGGACATTAGGAAGCATTTCTTTACCGAGAGGGTGGTCAAACACTGGAACAGGTGTCCTAGAGATGGTCAATGCCCCAAGCCTGTCATGTTTAAGAGGCATTTAGACAATGCCCTTAATAACATGCTTTAACTTTTAGTCAGGCCTGAAGTGGTCAGGCAGTTGGACTAAATGATCATTGTAGCTCCCTTCCAACTGAAATAGGCTGTTCTACTCTATCTCACCCACCTTTCTATTTACAAATGAATAATTTTCATAGCAAGACACATCTGGCATGAGCAACGAATCTCACCCAGGCTTTCCAAAATCAGTTTTCAGACCAGAACCACTCTGACCTGAAACCTTTACTTTGAAATGTCTGGATTTTGGCACATTGGTCAAATGTGCCAAACTTACAGCAAGTCACGTAAGGTTCAGAAGAAGGAAATATGTCTCTTTAGGCTCCATGCAAGACCTGCTAAAGAACTTATCAGTGTTCTTCACAGTGCTGGAAATAACTTTTCATTCTCTCATTTAGGACATGCCCGATAGGATCTACGAGAACCTGAAATTGTCACCAAGCTACCAAAAATGAGAAAACTGTTGGGAGAGTTACAAGGACGTAACTTAGATACAAATTCTTGAGTACAAAAAAACCTCTAAATTTCTTTAAGAAGTTGCTAAGGGAAAAGCAGGCAGCAAAGGTGATAGTAAACATTGAAAATTGATCTGAAAGACAAAAGGCACAACTATGCTGGCAGACTAGTTTTCCTTGGCAAATCTGCTTAAGAGACACAGCTCTGACACTATTATGATGCAACATCCAATACCAAATACTAAGTGCTGCTTAGTATTTTGTCTCCACAGCATTTTCCTTCTTCTGTATCAATGACAAGAATTTCAGTACAAGAATACTATTAAAATAACACTGACTTCTAAAAGCTATCAATTGACCTTCACAAGTTGTACAAGCATTCAGCATACCCCTAATCAGAGTACACATCACATTCTTAATCATTCCTGAGATGTCCTCCATAACAAAAAATTACAGAGTCCTGTAAAAAAGTCTCCAATGGTCATCCTAAGAATGTGGCTCTTGAGTTCTTCAAAAGATTATTACTCCTGCTATACAGGTCTAGCTGTACTAACAAACTGGAAAGCACACAGCCAATATTTTGATTTGTCTAACTTACTCTGGCACTAACAGAAGAAACACTAAAGCGCAATCATGCCCAGTAAAATAGGTGAGAAAAAAATAAATGAGCAAGCAAGATCCCACGGCCAATTTTCATCAAGAAATTATTAGTTCAGCTGAAAGAAATGAAACCTGCTCAAAGCAGAGAAAAAATATCAGAAGTGAATAGTACTCACCATAAGCACCATTTGAATTGGCAAAGATTAAGTTAAACTGATGATATCAGATGTAGAAACACGCAAAATAGTTCTATACAATCTAATCTCAATGAGCAGGAGCTATTCACAGCATCTTAAAGCACACTGTGGACTAACTTACCCCCTTCAACCTACACTAAGCTCTGTGATGCCATCCATGACTACGTTGTTAAGCTAGATCATTCAAAGCCAGCTTGGGTACCTCTGTAATACACCGTCAACTCTGGTTAAACATTACAGGCCATGCCTATTGAAGTGATATTATATAAGCTTTTCCACAACAAAACCCTTCATGAGTTCACCAAATGATTCCCGTATTTCCTGTGGTGGGACACATTAAGTACCAGACTGCACATCCTGTATAGTTTTTCATAATCATGAATTGATGTACTCTTGTGCATTTATTTAACAGAGCCCCATGATAATGTCTCCACAACTGTATTTGAACTGCCAACTTGCATTCTGATCAAATAATACAACAGATCTAAAAGCTCACTTGAAAAACACATCTAAGAAGGAATTTTTTATGTTAAATACAACTGTCTTACAAAAACCCTAGGAGTTAACACTATATTCATCATGTATATGCCAGCACTTGCATATTGCAGGAATTTAGAGGGCTTACTCATATGAATAATTCTTTACAGTTCATTAAAAATACAAGTAACGTTCCTAAAGTTTGTTCCCATTTAAGCCATCCCAACATAATGGCATAAAGTGTACTAAAATATTTAAGAATATACATTTGTAGGTTTGTTTTCTTTCTAAAATACTTATTGAAATATTCCTTAGTGCTTATAAACAATAAAACATTTAAAAAATAAGCCTATTACAAAATAGATTTTTCTTAAAATAAATTCTTGGCGTTTAAAGGGAACCAGGGACAGCAACTCTTCCAGCTCTTCTAACAATAAATACCTGCTAAAGCAGATTTTAAAAAATATTTTATGAGGGTATAAACAACATCAAGCTGACACTTTTAGTTTTGCTATACTTCACTGAAATGTATGAATGCAGCAAATATACACAATATAAAATTAAAGGGGCAAACAGAATGCTTACTTTCTCTAAATGCTTTACAGTAGCCAAGGAATGACAACAAAAAGAACAGGGCACACAGTAGGTCTGCTCTGCCAACAATCCCGGCAACCTTAAAAAAAAAAAAAGTTTCAGATTAACAGATTTTATTCTTAAAAAAATCTGAGATAAATGTACAGGCACATATACAAAGGGAAATGTGTAAATGAATATCACTGTATCACTTTTTTTTTTTTTAACCTGGTTTGCTGGATTAGTGATGCCCATTTTTCTAAGCTGCATCCTAATTTTGACTGGGTTTTGCTTAGTATCAGCTAGGTAAACAATTTGGCTTTAATTTATGAAAAAAACCCAATGTCTTGAGAAATGAAAAAGGACCTGCTGAAGAAAATTCTGTAGTAAAGAAAACAGAAACAGAAAGAAAGCGGAAACTGATTCTTGTGTAGTACACCAGTTGTCCCATTTTGTGAGTGGAACAGAAAGAGAAAAGTAAAAAGATAAATTGTACCTTCATTTTGTTTAAAGGCACCTGCTAACCTTCTCTTAGGAAGAGGGCTTTTTTTTTTTTTGTGTCAGTCTGACAACATGGAACAACTATTTCTAAATAACATCAGAGAGAGAAAGAGAAGTGTAGAGGCATGAGAGTAGGACTGAATCCACTGAAGAGACTCTCTCCCACTTTACCCTCAGCTTCACTTGAGCACTGTAAAAGAAGAAACTGTTTGACTCCTAAATTCAGTTCAGAAAAACTTCTTGATTTATCCAAAGCCATGCACCTAACTTCTCTGCTTTTTACTCTACCTTATAGAGGAATTACGAGAATTAACTCAATAGCTGTGGAGTGCTTTGAAAGGTAAAAATAATGAAGTGTCATTCTGTTTTGGGAGCTGCTCTCAGCTAATGAGATAAAAGTAAAGGTGAACTGAGACAATTTTGAAAATAAATGCCAACTTGTTACAACAAAGAGATTAAGGGGCTAATAACAGATATATGGCCTCAGATGACTCCAACAAGTACAATGTTATCTCAAATGCAGGATCAGGCCGATAGTCTCTGGTAACAAGGTAAACAAAAAAATAAAGTTATAAATTATTATCAGGTATATTCTTATGCCTGTGTTTCATTCAGTATTTCATCACTCCAGTATTAGAAAGAATAAGCATTTTTTAGAAGACAGAACTGCACCAGAAAAGTGTTTACTTGTAAGTAGAAAAAATATAATGACAGATGTTTTTCTTACATAGGTACTGAAAGCATTAAACTTTTCAAGATCTGTTTTACATGACAGTTTGTTTTGTGCTGTATATACCAAATTCCAAAGCAGCAAACAGACAGATTTGTCACAATTTTATGTCAAAATATGTCACCTCATTTCAAAACCAGGATGTCATGATACTTAAAACTCACAGCTTTAAAATCATGAGAAATGCTTTTTGAGGAGATGCTGCCTGACAGACACTCATGCTAGAACCATAGCAGTATAATGACTGTTTCAGTGCAGCAAGATTTATTATTCACCGTATAAATGATTAGAGGCTTTTGTTCACTCCTGGATCTTAAAAGAGACATGGTATGTAAGCACACTACTTTCTTCCTCTTCTTCCAATGTTTGCCCAAAGCATATGTGAGTCTTCAAACCTTGCATATGCAAGCAGACCGCATCACTTGTAATTTATTTGACATGACAAAGGTCTTATTAACATTTGCCTGCTGATTTAAATATATTGTTAGAGTCAAATGGAATAAAGAATAAAATTATGGATATTGATAAAGGAGCCAGTAGTAGGTCTATTGTAAAGTTAAGACTCAAGTGACTCTTATATGTTAGAACACCAAAAGCACTGAAGACTTTTACTTCACTTTGACATCTAGAACTGGTCTTGGAGAAAACATACCAGGGGCCGTCCTGACACTAAGACAATGTGCTCTCACTAAGAAGCTATTCTGCAGGCGAGCAAACACCAGAGAATGGTTGGCAGGATGTTTTAGCCACACTGCCAAAAAAGGTGCCAAATTACTAATACATAACTATGCACCATCTCGAGGTTTCCAATACATGCAGGGTCCCCAGTCAGCTGAGAGGCATAGCTTTCTGTAATCTCTTACCGATCAATCATGTGCATAGCAAATGAAAAAGACCAAAACCATGGCATATTGTGAATAAATGAAAAATCAGTGCCACATATATAGAATAAGGTGCACAGAGGATTCAGTGTTCATTACTAGCACTAAGATCAAAGTTAAAGTTAGTACTTTATCAGTAGCTCAGTCCTTCCAAACTAAAAAAATGACTCCTGCATTGTGATTATTTTATATTTCATTTATTCATTATTACACAATCAAGCAATCAGGGACCACATCCAGCAAGCCCACTGGCATATGGCCAAAAGATTTTCTTAGCTATGAGTGCAAAAGATCTTTTTAAGAAAACCATCTCCTCTTCACTAGAATTTCCACACAAGGACTTTGATCTTTGGTCATGTATTTTAATTGGTTGTTACACACATGCCATGTTTCTATTCCACATCTTTACAGCTTTAACTTCCAGCCACTGTTACGCTTTTGTCTGCACTATTAAAGGGTCCACTACTATCAAATTTGCGTTCCCCATGTATATAATTACAGGCTGTGATAAAAAAAAATAAATTATCCTTTCATCTTCTCCTTCATGTTAAAAATATAAACCCATGGAGTTTGATGTCTCATGGCATAGGATGATTTCCAGGCCTTTAATAATTTTCATGGCTCTTCTGAGCCCTCTCCATTTTTCCCAGAGTATTCCTTGCTGCATGGGTTCAAAACTGGATGCAGTATTCTAATAGTCACATACAGAGTTCATATAATGTCCTTACTACAATTTTCTATCTCCCTGTTTTTTTATCAAAGCAAATGGAAATGAAAAGTGGTTATGCGTTTACATTCAGTTTATCTTCCATTCTCCTTGGCTGCTCATGAGCTAATGTTTCTAGTAATGAATTCTTAATCCAGTAATTAGTGAAACTCTGTAGTTGAGGGCTATCCTACTTTAGTTATTGTACTTAAATGATTTAATTTATCTTCCTTAATAAGGTCCAGCCCTGTGGAATTACAAGCTTTTGGACATACTAACCATAATATTTGATTGTTCTCATAAGACATGTGCCAAGAGAAGCGTTAAGAATATATAAAAGCAATGTGTGGAGTATAAGGCTATGTCAGAATTAATTAATCAAGATGGTCAATAACTTCTAAGATATAAATAGTTGGAGCTAATTATTCAGTACTTACACATTCTGTGTGCACTGGATGTACAGCAAACAGCAAAGCAGCTAGAAGAGACGTCTTTGGGGCCAGGTTTAGCCTTCTTCCTTTATTACTGAATTGCAGTCCACCCAATAAAATTGAGAACACATCAACCATCAACACTGAGATAGTACAGTGCAGTATTATATTGATGACATGGAAACCAACTGGGTAGAAGCCTCCAGCAAAAAGGTAATTAATTCTATATAGAAACAAAAACATTAAGGCTAGGATTTACATCAGTGGTTTGAGATATACAAACAGAAAACATAAAGAACCCCATAGCAAAATCATACTAGATAAACACAGACACAAAAACCCAAGGCTGAATAAAACCAGCAAACCCTAGCACGCGTGGCATTAGCATTTAGCCACCACAGCACGTTAGAATCAATGTCCTGCACTTTACTCACAGGTATTCATATGGGATACCATATTCAGCATAATATCTATCCTCTCCAAAGACACATGTTAATACTCTTATGTTAGTCATACCGATGGCTACGTAGAACCGGCTTTTGGCCAGCAACATAACTTCAATGTCACAACACAGGAGTGTCCTACAGATAAAACAACCCAGCCTACTGGGGGGATACCGTTGGGCTTAAGAGAAACTATGTCCCAAAACAACCCGATGAAATCATTTTAATTAAAACCACACAGTGAGGAAACTAATATGTGCTGAGACTATGATTTCCACTGACATTCTAGCTGAAAAATGTACTAGCATTCGGACTGAAGATGTGGAAACCATCTGGGTACAATCCATTATCAACCCAGAAAGTAGTAAGTCAGAACATCTTAGTAACTAATTTGTGAGACTGGTTAGAGATGGGTTTCATGCAAGTAGTAGAACCACAAGGAAGTATAAGTGAAAATTCAGTCTAAAACCCTATTCAAGACAGGAACTCTGTGGTAAAATGGAGAGGGAGAAGAAAAGGGAGAAACATCTCATTATTATCTGTATGCTTTTATCAGTAGGTGAGATATACAGAAAGTTTGTGTGGATAGGGGATTTTATATAGTTCATTTGGTCAGCCTGCACCTGGCTTAAGTAAAATCTATTAAAAAAGCCTAACCTATTGTAAATGTGATACACATAGAAGTTGGAGCCCAGGGAAATTAAGAAAACCAATTTCTTACTTGTGAAACTAGCATTTTATGGACCATCTCCACATGCTCATCTATATTCTCAGATATAGTAATGACTGTATCCCAGTTCGCTCTTTAAACTAACCAGGACGTTACTAGAGATGGAATATACCACAGAGACCTTGAAAAGAAAGGAAAGCATGTGCTGCATAATGCACTGAAAGCTTTATTAGGTTTAAGACTCTGACATATTCTATTCAGCTGCATATTTTCCTTGATGAAAATGTCAAGAAACCCCAACAGACGGTGCAACCCACAGTGCTAAGTACTTAAAACACTGACAGTGCACCCAAGAGCCAAAGTTTTTGCTCGAATACGACGACTAAGAATGGGAGTATTTCTTCCACAATCACTTAGTTCCTGGCTTAGACCAGAGACAACTGCAGAATCAGTGCCAGGTCCCCATCCACAACACTGAGTTGCATGGGGAAAATAAAGAAGCTTAAGACCGAGTCCTCAAAGATTCTCTGCGTTACCATGCCCAATTTCTCCATGGTCTACTGCTTGCTCAAATCTTTGCACAAAACCCATGAGCTAAGCATCTAGAGAAGTAATCCTCATAAACCTTTACTTATTTGAGAAAACCAGCAAGTTATATATACAGGCAGACATCCCTCTCGCTAGGATTCTCATACAAACACTCACTTGAAGTTAGAGTATCAGGGGGGAAGAGGTGGGAAGACTATTCAGTGACCTAGTGGCAAAAGGCCACAGTAGATTCATGCTGTTTATAAAAAATCATTTGACAGGTCACCTGTAAAGCAGAGAACAGAAACTACAATAGCAGTATAAGTGGCAGCATGGCTAAGTGAAGAGAACATACACCTCCTAGTTCTTTGATGATGTGACCTACGTATCGAACTACGCTGCCCCTAGTACTGAGGTATGTAAGAGCGTAAGATGCAATCTCTGAAAGGTACATTGAAATACAGAATGTCAAAATAAAGTATACCTTGGGAAAGAATCAATTTGAAAATTAAAGGGTTAAGGTAGTGAACAGGAAAAAAAATTCAGGAAAGGTATCCAACTAGCCTCCAGACACTGTCTCTCTCCTTTTCTGTTGCCTCCTCCCTATAATCAATTGAGCCAATATATGTGAGAAAAAAAAAATAAAAAAAAAAATCAGACCTCAAGCAAAAAGACAAGTCTTACCTGAAAGTTAGGACAGTTAGTGGTCGATATGACTTATGACTGGTATTACTGCTGAGTTTGCTACCCCAAAAGTCATGATGCCACAGGTCACCGAGTGGGGTTTCTGCCCTGAGGTCCTGAAAGGAAACATAAATTACCAGATTCTTAACATTTCTGTTTTGTTCAAAGCAGTTAAAACACAAACAAGTTCTAACTAATACAAGCTCATGCTGACATGGACATAGTGTTTTGTTGGCTCACTACAGACATTTGACAAGGTACCCCAGTTTGCAATGAAGATCACATCTTGTATGCCTGTCATCATAAAGGCCAAGATGCCTGGATTCTGTACGTAGGCATAACTACATGAAATTTAGTAGAACTATGAGTATTCATAGCAGTTGATAATCTGGTCAATAGCTGAGATATAAAACACGTTTAAAAAAAACCCTTTACCTTACAGTTTTGTAAAAAGCCTTTGATTTTCAGTCTAGGTTATATTGTGAAGGAGGCCAACTACAAACCACTGCAAATAGCTATTTTTCTTCCAGCGTCAGTAGCACAACTACTAATGAAAACATGAAAGCAAGGACACTAAAGATATAAAATCAACAAGTGGCTCTTTTTGAAGCCTTACTTCACAAAGGACACTATTCAAATAGCTTTTTTTTTTTTTAATTCTTAATACATGAAACCAAGAATCAAAATCTCTACATACTGCTCTAACAGATGAATAGCAGAAACCAGAAGCAATTAATTATTTTAATTTGGGGTGGGGTAAGGGACTATTAAAAAAACACTGCAAAGGAACAGTCTACTCTCTCCTTTTATCTTAGAGCCATGCTGATAATGAAAAAAAATCAAATCACCTAGGCTATTGAATGGAAAACACGCACTTTGGAGAGGCAAAAATAAGGACCTTGGTAGCATCTACCTCAATTTTCTCTGAGGACAAGCTGGGAAGCTCAAACTAACATATTCATCTTCTGCTTGCCCCTCTTCTGCTTTCCTAGGGCAATTAAGTTCCAGTTGATGCTATAGCAAACATGCAGGTTAAATACACTTAAGACAGAACCTAAGAACAATACTGCACTAGCAAACAAATAGCTTTTGTACAAGTGCTGGTATTACACCTGCAACCAACCACAAGTTACTCTACCCCCCGACTTTCTCCCCTGAAATTGTTCAAGAGACCAACACACCAAAGCAGATGAACAAGCCAATGCAAACACAAGTAAGCAGACAAACCAGGTTCCTAAAGGCATGAAAGGTCTTACAAAGCCTGGTGTCCTATGCCTTATTCCTCCTACATCTCCATCTACTTACAGGATTCCCACATTACGATACCCTTGGTTCGCTATCTCCAGTTGCTCTCAAATGCTGCTACCATCTCACTTGGCTCTACAGTATCTTGAGCACGTCCTGCGGTCTCCAGTACCTTCCATCTCATCCTTAGCTAGTATTTCTGGCCTGACAACAAGGCAAGAGAGAACACTTGCGAGTCCCAAGGTACAGCCAATGCCTGGGCCCCACTGACTGGCTGCGGCTAAACTGAACTTAAAATAACTCATATCTTACTTGCTTCTCTCTTAACACATTCTGGCTTTCATCTATCCAAAAATAATAAAAAATATCCAGGAAGAGATTTATTTCTATCACTTGACCAAGTTTGTCCAGTATTAGACAACTGGTTAAAAAAAATATATTAGGAAGGGGAAAGAGGCTAAAAATCCTAGCACACAGTCAAATGAAGTGAAGCATTCTCTAACGGGTTACTAATCAAGACACAGAAAAAAGAGCAGGGCTAACACTGTATTCCTTGAAAAGTCCTATATTGCAGCTGTGAATGAAGGCATTCTCAGGGAAAATCTTGAGAAATCAAAACTCACAAGGGATCTTACTGGGCTTAAGAATTATCAAGGTGCAAAAGTTTCTTCACGGTCTTACAGATGTTTCTAGTGCCAAACAATAGCTACAAATTTCTTTCTTCTCCCAGGACTGTAATTTTGGCCTTAGGCACCTAAATTCCTGTTCCATTCCTCACTGGTATGCACAAATCCTAAAGGACATCATTTGACTCTCAGAGCAGGACTGCGCTCAACCAGCAGCCCACTAAATCAATCAATATGGTCTGCTTTTCCAGGGGCAAGTTGGGACTGGATTGTACACCGATATATATTGAAGTCTTTGTACTCTGCAAGTGAAGCTGTTAGTGGGCATTGTGGCCCTCAGACTGTTTTTCCAACCAACGGCATTGCTCCTTATGCACATTTGCCAGAGAAAGGGACAATGAAAGAGAGTCTTTTTTTTAGTATTAAAATTTTAAAAGTATGTCTTCTACATCACAGATGGTCTTCAATAACTTGAGATGGGAAATACATTTGAGATGCACAAGGCTAGATTTCCCTTTTGTCTACAATCAGCCTTCTTTTGTCTTCCATAGGAAGAATGCAGAAAAAGCTGAATACATGGAATTACTTAGTGATTACACTTCCATATGACCTATGAATCTGCGGTTGTGTATCTTGCTCTTATATCCAAGTTCTGTGAGAGAAAGTTACTTATGTTCATTTTCTTACCCAGTGGACTTACGCTAAAATAGGATGGTTTACTCTAAGGGACACAGCTGTTTAAAAGTTATGTATGATTTTCTCTACAAGAACTGAAAGTAGATATCAAAGAATCTCTAAATATTTGATTAGCAGCAGCTTACAGACAGCAGAGTTCAATACTTGAAGAAAGGTCAGTTTTTCTATATAAAGGCTTATGGAAATGACACATTGTGTCTGATGCTCCTCCTAATCCAACAGTTTGTCTTGCTAAGCTAGTAAATAAATAAAGACAAAAGTCACTGCTGTGCATCAGTTAAAATGCTGCTCAAAATGACAAGAAAGCATCTGGAAAACAGCCTTGAACCCCAATAAAATCTAATAACGGAATGTTCCATGATACGGTAGGCATGGGGTCAACTAACAGTGTATCCTTCACCATAAAATAATAATTCAAAGATTAAGGGGGAGGTGGGAGCTAGTAAATTAACGAAAAGGTCACTGCAATATACCCAAGAAAATACTGGTATAGTAATGCTCAATAAATCTACAAAATTACTTCACCTGCTGTCTCTCCTGTTGAATAGGAATAAAATATGCTATAGCTTGTTTAATAAACTGTGCCTTTGCTAGATGTTCTCCCTCTCCATTAAACTGGTAAACTGATTATCTCTACATTTTTCTTGTGGATTTTGTATTTCCATATATTCATATGACCCCTGTGTTAAAATGATAGTCACAAAAATCTCATTTAATTTCTAGGGAATAATAGAGGATTTTGATGTGAAAAACAGAATAAGCCTCACAGTTTTTCAAACATACAGACAAGGTATGAATTAATGTATTTAAGCAGTTGGTTGAATTTCTCAACATTGCCTATGGCTATAATCCTGGTCCAGGTTGTTGTGTTGCATAGATGAATTGAAATATTTTGGAAGTAAAAACTGAAAGAAATGGAGAAAGATTACAGGTGTGGAAATTGCACATGAACAAAACAACCTGCTTTGTTTCAACATCAGTCTTTTGTTCATTCTGTCAGGAAATTAAAATATCATAATTGTGCCCCACATAAAACTTTACAGAATGAAACATTGCCAGGAGCTGTGTAATTTGATGTTTCTTAAAAAAAAAAATAAAAAAAATAAATCACTGTAGGTTCTTAATTTGTCTATAGTATCCTCCTAGAAGCTTTGAGATTTATTTCCAATTTGGCAGACATATTTTTCCCCCATACATTTGTAACTCAAGGTGTGATGACTTACACAAGCATAATACAAGTTTGTCTAAGGAAACAGTAATTCAGTGGGCATTCAGTGGGCATAATTCCACTGCAGTCATCGTAGTAAGTTGCCTCTGAATCTTTTGCAAGGCAGAAAACCTTGAATTGTGTTCTTGTACGGGTACCAGTTTCCAGATTATCCTTGCCGTATCCACATGGTTTCAGGAAAAGAGAACCAACAGATGATGGTGATTCTTTTTATCCTGTTGCTTCTCTTTCCAAACATTTAAAAAGTACCTTCCAGAACAGAGTAAGAGCTGTTGCACCAAGACCCACCCATGAGCACAGGCTCACTAACTGCTACATGTGATTCTATGAAGTGTCTCAGCAATCAAAGACACTCAACTCCTCAAAGTCAAAAGAATCTCAGCTAGAGGTTTGTTTGATTCACATGTTAATTTCTAAGTATTTCAAGGATTGTTCATTGCATGTATTATCAGTTTTAAAATAGAGCACAAGAATACTCTGCCTCTATTTAAAAAAAAACACTGCAGTCACAGGAACTTTAAGTGGGGAAGGAACATAGGAAAAGGAAGCCTTCCTGCTCCTGTAAACATTTTTATGGTAGAAACTACAGCTGGAGAACTCCTGCACCCTACAATCACTTAGTGATGCACTATGTATCTTGCAAGTAAGTTTATTCATTGGGCTTATTCATCTGTCACCCTGAGAAGATAATGAAAAAATCTCCTACTAACATCAACGGGTATTAGAAAAGTCTACTTCATAATCTCACTGACTTAGAAATGAGCGTAAAATTAGATCTATAAGCAGTCTTGATGTACAGCTACCCTGTGAATAAGCATTACTAAACATCACATCCAAACTAGATACTGCTCTCTTAGATGAGAGGCAGACAAAGTCCATTTGGTATGGCAAAAAGAGATCCGTTCCCCTTGACCAGATATCAACACTTGCTAAGCAGAGCATTTTACTTGCAAAAGAATGAAAGGGGACACATTCTGAGGATAAAGAAAAAAAACCCACTGTTTAACTTGTTCACTTTTTTGTTTATGCATTAAAACCCAAATCATGTTATTCAAATAGCTTTAGGAATAAGATTTTGTTAAGCATACTTATGCTTCTAGCTTTTTGGTAGAGCAGTGCTGCACAGCTTCTTTGTCAACCTTTAAATAAGGCTTACTTAAAAAACCCTCAATAATACAAAACAGATTAATGAAGTACAAAAAAAAAAGGAGTATCAGAAGGAAGCTCTTTACTAGGGTGAATATTTTGGGCCTACTTAGATCAACTGCTGTCATTATTTCTTTTCCTATTACCATTTATGTCAAAGGGCACAGGGGGAAAGAGCGACAAACCTTATTATTGATGATAGCTTCAGAATCATCAAAGACAAAATCTCCATCATAGCTGTTAGCAAAACAGAGGAAGGAAATTAATGCCACAACCATTTTAGCCCAGTATGACGGAAGGAGGAACCATGATACATCATGGTCCAGATTAGGTTCTGTTTGTGCCATTCTGTGAAATACTTGTTCCAAGTTGGGAGCTTCAGCATTATGTTGGTTGCAAATCTGAAAGAAACACATACAAATGCAGAATTATAATTGCATTTCACTAAAAAAGAATTTTAAAAATGGAGAGTTGGTTTGGGAGAGGAAAGTGAAGTTTCATACAACCTAACATTTTTCTCTTGGTGCATTTTATAATTACTGGAACATATCTAAACATAATTTTGTACCTCAAATGTGGAAGAAGGGCACAGTTTCTCATGGTCAGAGCACAGAGATAAAACCAAGAAATTCTTAGATTCTAAGTTAAAGCTTTGGCACAGGTAAATTCTAAAAACTTGAGCAAATCACTGCTTTCTCTGTTGCTTGCTATTCTTTTCAAGTATAACAAACAGGGGCATCACGGGGACTGTGAAGCATTTATAAAGTCCTTAAGAGAATGATAAGCACTATAATTTCCTTCCAAGTGTGAAAAGCAAACATCATCAATTGCAAAAAGAGCTCAACTCTCTTCTGTTAATTGAATTAAAGGACCTATACATATAGCCCATTTAGGGAACTCATACAAACATCACAGGTAGACATACACAGATAGCAGTTAATTGACTAGGCCCTATATCTCAAGAATTCAAACAATGAGACAGGACAACGCATACCGTTAATACCAAAGTAAGACCACTCTCACTTGCACACTGCAAGTACAGCATCGGCCAGATTCCACTTCTGTATTCATGGACTTATGAGGTTGTTGAGGTAGATGAAAAAGACCATGCAATCCAACAGCACTGAGTGATACATGAGTATGGAGGTTCTAAGGCTGAAAGTTCACCCATGAGCCACCTCGACTTGGAAAGCTCTCTTCTGATGCTCCATAGCCAGCCCTCTGCCTGGACAGCTGTTCTGCCTCTGCACTTCTGGTGCTCTGACAATATTGTGAGCGGTCTTATTATCAAGTGCTGCTATAAATGGTAGGGCAGGGGGGAAGGTTACGAATGGAAACCTACAGTAAAAGCAGGGCAGAATACAAAGTTTTTATTTGCAAGCCCCAAGAATAACAGGCACATATAGTAGCCCAGCTTCACGCTCTCCTCTTCTCATTTATTGGCTTTTACATCAACTGTTGTGCCCCTGAAAACATTGCATTTAATGTCTTCATACAATCTAGGAAAGAGTTCTAGTCATTTGGCTTCTTGAACAGACTTGACCATTAGAGCTTTTGCTCTAAAGGCAATTGCTTTGTAGCTTTCTGTCTGCAACGCTAAATTCCAGTCTCCACCTACTCCCAATCTCTGTACGCACACATGCACACGCACAGGCGGTACTCCCTGTCACACCAGTGCCCCTTCTGCCTTTGAGAACTATCTAGCAGTGCTCCCAAATTCAGACAAAGTCGGTAACATGGAGCTGTGCAACCTGAGAGAGAACGGAGCCCCTTAGCAGAGCAAAGCAGACCAGCCGCTTTAAAGAGCGAAACCCATTCTCAAAGTAATTCCCCCTTGTGCTCTCAGCTTGACGAAAACAAAGACTAAAAGCAGGACTGTTAATCCGAGGGAAGCGTATTGCGTTGCTCGTAACAGCCCAGGCACAGCACCAATGCCCCCTACCCAATCCAAACATTTTAACCTACTCTAAATTAATTTTGCCCAGAAAGTTTCTCCCGTTACGCTCGTTCTATTTATCTGATGTACATCTGCTACCAGCCACTCTCCCCGCGGTCCAGCCGAGCAGGCCAGTCCGGGGGCGGGGGCTGGGGGGAATCCC